CTTCCCCACGCACAAGAGCTACCTACCATCCAAATTTCATCACCCCAGCATTTCTAGATCATGAGATATCAAAACCGGAAGTTCAGCTGCAGTACCATAACAAGCCGCTAGGGGGCCCAAAATCTAATCATTTTGAGGTCTCATCTAGACCTACCCACCTACCAAGTATCAAGACAATCCATCAAGGCCTTCTCAAGTTATCGTGTTTACAGACAGACAGACAGACAGACACACACACACACACACACATACACGAACGCCCCTGAAAACATAACCTTCTTGGCGAAGGTAAATATCAAATGATTTGTGCTGCTATTCCGTCTCATCTCACGTAAAATTCAGATCTATCAACATTATGTTTGTTTTTTTATGATACATTGATCATATGATATAACATATTTACATTCATGGTATAATAGTTTTAAATGATAGAATACTTGATTTTTTTGGCATTGAAGTTTGTATCGCCTATATGTTTCATGTCAGTACCTATTTTGAGAGTTTGATACTTTTGTAATTTCTAGGAAATTTCAAATTTTGCTAGAATCGTGTCTTTTAAGATTAACACGTTACCAATGCTCGGATGATGTAGCGGGCCATAAAGGCAATAGGCTCGATTCTCTTTATTCTTGACGTTTTCAAAATCATATCCAGTTGCTTGAGTAACTGCTTTTTGGCGTAGATTCTCTTTAGACAGAAACTGAAATGCTGGAGTGCAGATAATTGAAGTCAGTCCGTCGGAAAACTATTGGTACTTGTTACGATTGTAATAACATTCCGGTGTTTGTTTGTTTGTTTTGAACGTAACCTAGTATGAAGAAATTAAACTTGCAGCATGCAGTTGCGTTAGTCACGAGTGACCAACTTTCCAAAGTGTCGTATCTTGAGCTATTATCATTAAGATTACGCTAAAAACGTACATTTTGCGTAGAATGGTAAAATCCCATACATCTTTCACCTACTTACTGATAACAATCTAGTGGATCTACTGCTGTTCGATTGTTGTTAACATACCGTAAATAATTTCATCAAGTTGGTAAAGGAATGAATAGCAAAGTTCTTTGATCACAACCATTTTTACGAGCCGACGTTTCGATGACCGTCTGTCATATCTTCATCAGGGCAATTCGGACTGGTTTCCTGTGCACTGACGCTAGATATTACTCGGTGCATAGTGCACTAAAGGTGCTACATAGTTCACAGTGCACTGTTACTTGGATCACAGCGCACTTAAGCTAGTTACCTCCATGAAATGGAAGGTATTGTTTTTGGCGCGTCTGTGTGTGTGTGTGTGTGTGTGTGTGTGTGTGTGTGTGTGTGTGTGTGTGTGTGTGTGTGTTTGTGTTTCCGCTTTTTTGTACCTTCATAAGTTCATAACGCCTTCATGGATTGTGGTGATATTTAGTATGCTGGTAGGTGTTAGGGGGCCGAAGGTCAAGGTCAAATATGGGCCTCCTGGTGGATGGCCATAGCAGTGCAGTAGCACTTCCGGTTTAATGAGGAATCTCCTTTGCAGCCAACAGATGTGTCATTGTGTGGCTATCGAGTCAGTGCGCTTGGGACCCGGTTTGATTAATGGGGTTCCCTCAGGGGAATAGGTGACCTATTTCAGGGTTAGGGTTTGTATTAGCTGCAGGCCTGATTAGCTGTGTGTTTGAAACACTTAGTGTACTGTATACAAAAACT